AAGAGGCAAGGGAAGGGTCTGTGGTGACTCCTGCACCAGGAGAATGACCCAAGGCCTTGTCCCAGCATCCCAAGTCTACAGGGGGATCCCCAAGTCCTCAGAAATCTTCCTCCTGGGCCTTAAAGAGCTGTTTGTTGGGCAGAAGAGGCCACCTCGAAAACAGCTGAGTCTTGGTTTCCCAGAAGCTCGGCAGCACAGCTGCCTCTGGGTTTTAATGAGCTGCCCTGGGTTAGAAATAGGACGGGACTTGGCTGCTGAGAACCCCGAAGATCTTATTAAAGAATCATCTCCTCTGTACTTTGGGCTGAAATGCTCTTTCCAAGCGAGGATCAAAGCAAACTTGACAAACGTTCTCTCATTAATCTCCCTTCCCCGGGGGCGGGAGCAGATCAGTAGCTGTTCTCTCTGTGACAGGGGCCAGGGACCAGGGACCTCCCTCCAACGCAGGCAGAGCAGAGCAGAACCCAGGTGTCCTGGGTGCTCATGCTGGGTGTCACCTGCATACTGACCCAGTGGCCCGCAGCACTGTCTGAAGGAAGGGACATCTCATTAGGCAAGCAGGCTGCCTCTCTGCCCCTAGGAGGTGGGAGGAGGGAGCTGTAAAGGTTAGGCAGCTCCTCTGCCAGCGCCCTTTTTAATTTCCTGAGAATGTTAGGCGGCTCTGGCTCCTTCTCCTCCCTAGCCTCTGCTGTGGGTACTGGGATGCAGGAGGCCCTGCGGTGTAGACCAGGTGCACTTCCCACAGTGGGAGAATGGGGTTCCCTGGAGGTGAGAACACAGGGTCGGAAATCAGGCCCAGTTCACTCTCCTGCAAGTGTTAGTAGTGCACACGATGCCAGTAAGGATCACGCAGACCCTGGAGGCGGTGCGAGCCCAAGGCTGCCCTGGCGCAGTGTGTCACACCTGCAGTTCTGGACTTGGACCCGGAAGCCTCTGGGCAAGTTGTTAGCCCTCTGTGCCTCAGTCTCCTCACCAGAAAATGAGGGTATCTTGTGGGGTTGCAGTGGAGGTAGAAGTAGAGGATCAGTGTCAGGTACCTTGAGTGAGGGCTTGCCACTGTGTTTGTTATGACAATCTAATTGCCAGAACAAAATTGAATTATTCAGATGTATGAGGATTATTGTTGGGTGATAGTTTTCCCTTGTTTGGTGTGCAGAAGTTTAGGGGAAAGGGGCCGGGAATTTCAAATTAGCTCACTTTGGGCTCACTTTCTGAGCAGAAGCCAAACCGATAGTTGGACCATTGGGTAGAAAGCCCATTTTTCTTTGTTGGATGAGTTTGTGACCCAAGGTGCAACACAGCCTTTCCTGGAAAAGCATTTGTTCATTCCCAGCTGGGGACAGGCCCTGTTCCTCATTCCTGCGCGCCAATCTCAGGATCCCTGGAGTGGGGCTAAGGTTCCCTGGGGCATCTGTAACTCCTTCCCTCAGGAAAGGCACTCTAAGGAGGAGGGCAAAGTCAGGGAAGACATTTGGGGACCAAGGAGAGAGCTGGTGGCAGACAGTTGGAGGTATTACCAGGTCAACTGGGATCTTTTGTCACCCTCTACATAAACAGATGAAAGAAATACAGTTCGATCACCGAGCACCAAACCTATTGGATAAAAATTCAACCCTGTTCCTCCAGCCTCCAAGGGCAGTAGAGGGTGGGCAAGGGAATATAGGAGAACTGACAGTGGAAAGTACCTGTCGTTTGCAAATGATGATATCTGATTGAGAGGCCGGGCAGAATCGATGGCAGTCTACTAGCACTAATGAGAGTGTAGCACCATGGCCTCATCCCAGATGCACGTGGAGAAACCTCAGGTTTTCCTGTATCCTGCCAAAAACAAATTTGAAAATGTAATTTGAACAGGCTGTTCGTAGTATAACAAAGACTGCAATAATGAGTAATAAACCTATTGGGTAATACATGATATGCACGTAAGGAAAATTGTAGAACTTTACTGAAGACTATAAAGTGTGTGTAAGTGGAAAGGCAGCCCCTCCATGGGAAGCCTCTTGTCATAAAGATGCTGAGTCTATGTATATTAACCCATAAATTCAGGATAATCCAAATTAAAATCTTAGCAGGATTTTTCATAGAACTCCACAAGCTGATTCTAAAGTCAGGAAGAAGGACAAAGATGCCCAGGAATAGCCAAGAAATAGCACAGCCGTGATGTCCTGTAAAGCTCGGGAGGCACCCCCCTGCCCAGGAGCTGGAAGGACGGGGGCCAGGGCCAGGGAGACCCGCACTCCTGCGGTGCTGCAGGAGAAAGAGTGCCCTTGTGCTACTGATCTGGAGATACCGCTCCAGCTGAAGACGTTTAGAAAGGTCATGCCATTTCAGAAAGATTCGTCTCTATGAAGCCCTAAATGTACGAAAGAGAAGGTGTTAGGCAGAAGTAAGAAAAGCATTTATTACCTTGGCAAAGGGATGTTTTTTAAAAATATGACATAAAAGTCACAAAGATAGATTTGACTAATATCAAAAGCCTTCAAGTTGGTCGTGGTGTCACACACCTGTAATCCCAGTCCCTGGGCTGAGTAGGATTGTTGAGAGCTCAAGGCTAGCCTGCGGAGCTGCATAGTGAGACCCTGTCTCAAAAAAAGGAAAGCAAGCAAGCCAGCAAGCTTCTCTATCCTAGGGTAGGCTTTTTCCCAGGAATGCATGGCTGGTATAATACCAGGAACAGTATCCAGTAATGTAGCATTGTGAGAAAGCACCATAGACATCAGGAGCTACTCAGGTATGGAGATGAAATTCTGGACTTCCCTAATAACTATGTGAAATAAGAATAGGAGACATTAATGATATGACAAAGACTATTAGTCTCTAATTCATTCTCTCTTTTTTTTTTCTTGCTATGTAATCCAAACCCGCCTCACTCACTACCAAGCCCAGGCTGGTCTCCAACTCTCAGGCCTCCTGCCTTGGCCCCTGGAGTGCTAGCATTATAGTGTGTGTTACCAGTTCCAGCTTCCAGACTATTTTCTCAACAGTGAAGTGCTAAAGCCGTTTGCTGTAAGATCAGAAACAAATCAGCGTGCTTATTACCACTTTCAACATTGTTTTGCAAGTTCTAGAGACTAGTATGAAGGAAATAAGAGAGATGGCATAGGGTTGGGGAGATAGCTCAGCAAGCTCAGCAGCTAAGTGCCTGCCTGGCTAGTGCAGTGGACCTGGGTTTGATCCCTAGTACCACATGCCCTGCTGGCCTTGAAACCAAGCATTATGGTGCACACCTGTAATCCCAGGGTGGGGAAGCTGAGACAGGAGGATCACTGTGAGTCTGAACTGCATAGTGAGACCCTGTATCCAGTAAATAAAAAGAAAAAGAGAGTTGGTGTAAATGTGAATAAAACCGGGCATAGTGACGTATCCTTGTAATCCCAGTGCTCTAGGAGCCTGAGCCAGGAGGATCACAAATTCAAGCCCAGCCGAGGCAATTTAGTAAGGTGTTGAGGGTTTTTTGTTTGTTTGTTTTGTTTTGTTTTTTGTGGAACTGAGGATTGAACTCAGGACCCTCTGCTTGCCAGGCAAGCACTTATTCTACTGAGCCATCTCCCAGGCCCAATTTAGTGAGATTGTCTTAAAAAAATTTTTTTAAAGGCCTGGAGATGTAACTCAGTATGAAGACCCTGGATTCAATTCCTAGTACTGCAACAATAAAATGCATAGATATAGATATGTGAAAAGGTAAACATTTTTCTCTTTCCTGGTATATAATTGTATACTTAGAAAATCTAGAAAAGCTGCAGGTGGTGGCACATACCTGAAATCCCAGCACTGGGGAGACTAAGGTAGAAAGATCATGAGTTCAAGGCCAGCCTGGACTACATAGGGAAATCCTGTCCCAAATAAATCAAATAATTTTTTAAAAACACTGGGCATGGTAGTGCACACCTGAAATCCCAGAATTCAGGAGGCAGAGGCAGGAGGATCAGTATGAGCTCAAGACCAGTCTGGGCTACAGAGTGAGCTCAAGGCCAGCCTGAGCTGCAGACTGAGACCCTGTCTCAAAAAGACAACAGCGAAAGAAGCCCTAATTTTAAGAAATTGAAATTAAGTAGCGGTGAGGGTGACAAATACAAGACCAATATGTAACAACCAGTCACACTTCTCCATACCAGCAATTAGCAGCCAGAAGTAGAGATGGGGAAGGTGTTCCACTCATGAAAGCAATTAAATCCATAAAATATTTGGGAATTACATTAAAAGGACAATTAGCGAACCTACCCGAAAAGATAGAAAACTATAAAATCCTGAGAGACATAAAAGATATCTGAGCAAATAGGCAGTAGTTGTGTTCTTGCCTAAAAGGTTTAATATAATACAATAAATATGTAAATTTACTGCCCTCCCAGCTGTGATCCCGCTGCAGCTGGGGCCCGGTTCCAGCACTGCAGCAAATGGAGAAAATGCTGGGCCCCACCCCAGCCAGGCACTGTGGCCTGGGCTCAGGCAGGCTGGGGCCTCAGGCCGAGGGACCCAGTGACCACCCCAGCAGCCAGGATGGCATTGGCAGGGGGTTGCCGCCTCGCCCTGCATCCTGAGGCAGCTGTGAAGTGACCTGGTGGGGTGGTCTGGCCCTCATGGGACAGGGGATGGCAGCTCATATGGACTCTGGAAGCCCAGGCCGGGGCCGGAATCAAGGAGGCCTTGGGTCAGGAGGGTGCTGGTGCCTGTGCTCTTAGTCCCCCAGAAAGGGGTAGACCAGACCTTTTTTTTGTTTGGTTTTGCTTTTTTTTTTTTTTTTTTGGCAGAACCAGGGATTGAACTCAGGCCCTTGTGCTTGCCAGGGAAGCACTTATTCCACTGAGCCATCTTCCCGGCCCCTGTGGGTTTTTTTGTTTTGTTTTGGTTTGGTTTGGTTTGGTTTTGGTGGAATCGGGGATTGAACCAGACCAGACCTTGCGCACCGGGGCCAGGCTGCTCGGACCTTACCTCCCTCCCGTCTGCACAGGTGCTGCCTCCCGTCTGCACAGGTGCTGCCTCCCGTCTGCACAGGTGCTGCCATGGTGACAGCAGCTGAAGACAGTACGGTCCGGGTGGTGGTGCGGGTGAGGCCCCCCACACCTCGGGAGCTAGAAGGGCAGCGGCCGCCTGTGCTCCAAGTGGTGGATGACCGGGTGCTGGTGTTTGACCCTGAGGAACTTGCAGAGGGCCCTCCTGCCCCCAAGTGGGGCAGCGCCCACAGTGGCCCAAAGAGGAAGAACAAAGACCTGACATTCATCTTCGACCAGGTCTTCGGGGAGGGGGCCACACAACAGGATGTGTTCCAGCACACTACCCATGGCCTCCTGGACAGCTTCCTGCAGGGCTACAACTGCTCAGGTGAGGGATGTAGGAGGAGTCACCTGGTGCCTGGATGGAGACATAGAGCTGGCGCGGCACAGCAGGAGGGCCCACTGCCAGCTGCCTCCTGCCTGTATCTGCCAGTGTTTGCCTATGGGGCCACCGGGGCCGGGAAGACGCATACCATGCTGGGGCAGCGTGGGGACCCTGGCATCATGTACCTGACCACCATGGAGCTGTACCGGCGCCTTGAGGCCCTGCAAGAGGAGAAGCAATTTGAGGTGCTAGTCAGCTACCTGGAGGTGAGGCCAGCCTGAGTGGGGGTAGCATGGGCCTACAGGATGGGACCTGCCGTCCCCTCTCTGGTACCAGGTCCCGGGTTTACACAACCCCAGCTTGTGCCAGGCAGCACCTAAAGCCATCTGCCTTCTCCCAGGTCTACAATGAGCAAATCCATGACCTCCTGGAGCCCAAGGGGCCCCTGAACATCCGTGAGGACTCTGACAAGAGCGTGGTGGTACAGGGCCTGTCCTTCCACCAGGTGCGGCCAGGACATGCGGGGTGCAGGGTGGGATGGTGGTGGCCCTAATCTGAAGCCTTTTGGGTCCCCCCACCCCACAGCCTGCCTCGGCCGAGCAGCTGCTGGAGATGCTGAGCCGGGGCAATCGCAGCCGCACACAGCACCCTACTGACGCCAACGCCACGTCCTCCCGCTCCCATGCCATCTTCCAGGTGAGCAGGTGTGGGCTGAGCTGGGTCCAGGGGCTCATACCCTACCCCACGGCTCACACTCACCCTGCTGTCCACCCCAGATCTTCGTGCGGCAGCAGGACCGCGTGCTAGGGCCGACACAGGCCTTTCAGGTGGCCAAGATGAGCCTGATTGATCTGGCAGGCTCAGAGCGGGCATCCAGCACCCATGCCCGTGGTGAGCGGCTGCGGGAAGGGGCCAACATCAACCGCTCCCTGCTGGCGCTCATCAGCGTCCTCAATGCCCTGGCTGATGCCAAGGTAAGGCCGTGCATGGCCGGTAGCCCTGGTGTCCCCTTTCTCATGCCCAGGCCCACGTCACCCCTCTGCCTGGGCTATTCTTCCACCACAGGGCCGCAGGGCTCATGTGCCCTACCGGGACAGCAAGCTAACCCGCCTGCTCAAGGACTCCCTTGGGGGCAACTGCCGCACTGTCATGATCGCCAACGTGAGCCCTGCGGGCCTGGCCTATGAGGACACTTACAACACCCTCAAGTACGCCGACCGGGCCAAGGAGATCCGGCTCTCGGTGTGTGCTGGGCAGGGCCATAGTCTGGGAGGAGAGGGACAGTGCCAAGACAGCCAGCATCCCACGTCCCCATGCAGTGTCCCCAGGCAGAAGAAAGATACACCTTGGCTTCTATCTTGGGGAAGGGGTCTTTGTGATAGTAACGACAGGGAGGTCTCCAGGGGTGGCACAGCCTGGCCAGTAGCAACCCCAGGCTTAAGGCTTATTATAGGCAGCAGGACAGTTTCATCAAAATCTGTGAGCAAGGGGCCGGGGAGATGGCTCAGTAGAATAAGCACTTCCCTGGCAAGCACAGGGGTCTGAGTTCAATCCCCGGTTCGGCCAAAAAAAATCTTGTGAGCACACCGGCTCCCTAATAACAGCTTGGGTACACGGCCTCCATTCTTTGTCCCTGGGAGCCTGGCCAGTGCATGCCACCAGGGTCAGGGCTCCTGGGCCAACCTTGAGGCCTCCTAGCTGCTCTTGGTGGACACTGCTGTCCCCTGCCCCTCACAGCTGAAGAGTAACGTGGTCACCCTGGATTGTCACGTCAGCCGCTATGCCACTATGTGTCAGCAGCTGCAGGCTGAGGTGAGCAACACTTGCTGGTGGGTGCACCAGGCCCTGTGCAGCACCCTGCTCACGGCTGCTGTCCATGCAGGTGGTGTCCCTGAGGAGGAAGCTGCAGGAGCTGGAGGCACGGGCACCGGCCCCACTGCAGTGAGTCGCCTTCCAGACCCCACCCCTCAGGTGGCCGGGGGTAGGGGGAACCCTCTCCTCCCCACCTGGGCCTGGGGTGCCTCCTGGAAGGTCTGAGCTTTGCCCCCACCCCTTTATTTCTCATTCTGAGACCCGCTGCACTAAGCCAGTCACCTGCCAGGTGAGGCCTGGCTCATGATCCTCCTGCCTCAGCCTCAGTGCCGGGTTGTGGTCGGCCACCTTGCCCACTCAGGGTTGTTTCCCTTGGCCACTGCCATTTGTGGCTCTGCCTTCTGGGGGCCCTAGAGACCATGCCCCAACCACACCCTGCCACCAGCTGACCCTCCCCACCTCCCCAGCTCCCTCTCACTGCCCGGCCAGCCCTGCACCCCAGAGTGTGGAACCCTTGGAGACCAGAGCCCTGGGGCAGAAGCCCAAGAGCTGCCGGCGCTGGAAGGCAGCTCTGCAGGCCTCAGCCAGGACGGAGGTGGAGCCGAGGTAGGAGGGGTGGGGTGGAAGCCTGGCCCCCTGGACACTGCCCCTGTCAGCCCCTTACCCGTGGAAGTGACAGCCTTGTCACTGGGAGGGACTTCAGGAGGTCCTCCTGCTTCTGCCATCTGTACCTCCTTCCTCCTTAGGTTCCAGGCCTGGTGCCCGAGCTGATCCGCAGACGCTCAGTTTCCAGGGAACGCCATGGGCTGTGGGTGTCTTCCCCTGCACTGGGGTCCGGGTCTGTGGGTGTGCTCCCTCATGTGTATCCATCCCCTTGCCTGCTTCCCACCCAGTCCTGCTTGGAATCACCATCTGTCCCCACCCACACAGCACCCTCTGCACCATGGGCAGCCCTGCTCTGGGGCAAGGGCTGGCTGTGCCGCCCCTCCTGGTGCTGCCTCCTCCGGGCTGCCACGCGCCGGGCAGTGTATTTAAAGCTCCTGGACCGCAGGCCAGTTTAATTTTCTTTCTTGTCGGGAGTGTGTGCTCCGACTCAGCAGAAACGCCTTGGCCTGAATAATCAGTGCTCATTATCTGTCTCTTCTCGGCGCCTGGCCTAGGGCAGGACATGCAGGTGTGGGCCCTGCTGACCCTGCCGTGACCGTCGCTCTCTGTGGGCCTGCCACAAGGGAGAGGAGCCTGCTCTGCCTGCAGTCGGCCTTGATGAGGGATCATCCCCCGTTTTCCTCTATCCTGAAGATAGATGATAGTGGACCCTGACAACCAGGGACTGTAGAACGTTTCAGAACTTTCCAGATTGTCTCCATACTTGGAAACATGCCGACAGCCACATCAAAGATAGTTTCTTTTTGACCTCAGAATCTTGGACTCCCAGGCCCTTGGGCAGGTCTGAAGTTTTCTGGTTCAGTGGCTTTTCAGTTTTTCCACCTTCGAAGTGCTGTCTTCAGAGGGGACCATGCTGAGCTCATCAAAGGAGAGACAGGACAGGTTCTCTATTGCAAATGCAGGCTTGGAGCCTGTTTTGAAGACCTCTGTTTTGTTTTATTTTGGTTTTTTCCTATTTAAATTTTTATTTATTTTGGTCTTTTTGAGAAAGGGTCACCCTACGTCATCCAAGCTGGGCTTGAACGCACTTTCTAGCCCAAGCTGGCCTCAAACCCTTGGCAACCCTCCCACCTCCGCCTCCCTAGTGCTTGGGTTATAGGCACGCACCAGCACTTCCAGCCTTTTTTCCCTTTTTATACTAGGGATTGAAGCCAGGTGATTTTGCATTCAGCCCTTGCTTTAAAAATTTTAAGACCATCACTCACTGAGTTATTCAGGGTCGATTCAAACTTAAAGACTTCCTGTCTCAGCCTCCCAGAGTTCTGGGATGGTAGTATGTGTCACCAATCCTGGCTTGAGTGGGGATCTTAGCTCCCACCTTACACTGCCCCAAGGGCACAAATTGAGGGTCGCAGCACTAGTGAGTGGCAGAGCTGGAGGAGGCTGAGTGCACACTCACAAGGCACTCCGCTCTTTCCCCACTCCTGGGCATGGCAGTGCAGTGTCACTGTTCACCACAGCCTTGTCTGGCTGGGCCTCAGGAGGTGGGAGGGAGGCCGGCAGGTGTGGGCCCAGGAGAGGGAGCAGGGGCCTGGCCAGGTGAGCCTGTGGCCAGCCCTGAGTGACAGAGGCCCTGTTCCAGGCTGGCCCTCCGGGTACTGCGCCTGGCCCAGCAGCAGTATGTGCTGCTCCAGGCCGCTGACCTGCTCACCCCAGACCTGACTATGGAACTGGAGACGCTGCAGCAGCTGGTGCAGGAAGCAGCCAGTGACTCCAGGGTGCAGAGCTGCAGGACACCAGGCGTGGCTCAGGAGCTATATCCAGAGCTTCGTGAGTATGCCCCAACCCCCTGTGGGTACCCTTGGGCCTCTGGCATCAGGTGAGAGGTGCCACATGGTCAGGGATTCCCATCTAGGATCTGACTCCCAAGTATATGCCTTCTCTCTGCCCAGGGTCTCCAGGCCATTGTGGCCCCATGACCCGGACCATGGCAAGGCGACAGAGCAGCCTCATGCACAACCTGGGGGTCCCCCTTGGGTCCGACAGCACTCCAGTCCCAGTGTCCCAACAGCCCACGGAGAAGAAGAGGCGGAGACCAAGCCCTAGTGAGCCTGACAGTCCACTGGCAGCAGGGCAGGAGGCCAAGCGCCAGCGCCAGTCCTCCCTGCCCTGCCCAAGGCCAGGGTGGCTACCCGAGCCCTGCACCTCCATAGGAGCCCAGGCCCCTACGACCTGCCACTCCCTTCGCCCCTGCCCAGCCACTGTCGTCAAATGCCGCCACCGCCGGGCACCCCTGGGCCCTTCAGCCCTGCAGAACTGTTCTACACCCCTGGTGCCGCCTATCCTGGACCTCAACACCACCATTGACCTCTCAGAGGAGCTGCCTTCAACACTCAGCTTCGAGGAGTTTGCCCCCCAGGAGCAGCCCAGGTTGGGCCAGGCCTTTCTTGCCAGGTGGGTCCTATACCCTTCTGGCCAGGGATTGGGGTCAGTAAGGGACCAGAAAAGAGGGCACCAGACTGTTAATGCTGGTTAGAGCTGGATGTTTGCCGTCTGCCCCGGGTGCAGAGTGCCTTCCAGGTGGCACTGCTGGGCCCCTGTGCCAGGTCTGTAGGCAGCTTCGGATGCAGGATACATAGCCAGGCCTGTCTGCTCCTGGGGCACAGCCAACTCTGTCTCCTGAAAAGTGTTTCTGCTGTGGTGCCCAGGAGTCTCCTTGCCCAGCATTGAGGATGGGGTGGGGTCCTGAGAAGAAGGTGCTGGCATCCGCCTTCACAGCCAGGAAGGGCGGCAGCGAGCAGGGCACAGTGAGCGGCAGCCTGCCTCGATGCAGGCAGCTGTGGCTCCCGACCAGCTCTTGGTAGTCAGCATGGGGCAGGGCAAGCAGAGCCCAAGATGGGCTGAACTCCAGTTCCCTGGCACGGAACCTGATGGCTGGATGTCCTCCAGATTGCACTGTCACTCAGGTGTCCTAGGGTTGAGGGCCCACAAAGCCACCTTTGGGCAGGAAGGTGAGGAAGGGGGCCAGTGCCATGTCCCCCACCCCACCCCACCCCACTGGCCTTCCTCACCTATTGTCCTTGGCAGCAGGCCAGCAGCCCTGTTCACTGCGAGGGGTCCCAAGCCCACGTCCTCCTTGCCCAGGGCCACAGCCTGCAGGAGGAAGAGGTGCCCAGCGAGGTGAGCCCTGCAGTGGGGGAAGGGAAGAAGGTATTCAAGGGGCAGTGGACACTAGACTGAGCTAGTGGGCCCACCCCTGGGCCCTAGCCTCATGAAAGTAAGGGGGTCTGGTGAGCAGGGCCAAGACCCCAGCCCTTACAGCCTTATCCCAGGGCTGTCCACACTCAGCACTTGGCCATCCAGCGCTGGGACTAGCCCCTTCTCTGCCTCCCCTCTCTCAAGTCTCTTTGTCTGCTTCCTACCCCATGTGCCCCAGTCCCAGCACAACTGACCACTCTGCCCCCCTGCAGCTCCTCCATTCCCCAGGGCCGCAGCCGCATTGCCCGCCTACCTAGCAGCGCCTTGAAGAGGCCAACGGGGCTCTTTGCCATCCCAGGTGACTGCCCTGGGGACGAGCAGGTGGGGTGTGCTGAGGTGGGAAGGGCCCAGGAGGATCCCAGCATCCAGGGGAGGCAGCACAGGAGGCCATGTGGAGTTCCGCTGGATAGCTGAGGACAGCCCCGCCCCCCACCCTTCTGTGCCCTACAGAGCCACCCTCTAGGCTGAAGACCCAGGAGAAACTGGCTGGGGTTGGGAGGCTGCTGCCAGCTGAGGGCTGCATTGCCCAGGTGTCCTGACCCCTGTGTTGCCACCTGGCCTGGGCGCTGAGTGCCAGCACCTGCTCCTGGCCACCCTGTTCTGGTGATCCTGCTTTGGCCTCCTCCCTAGCAGTGGTGCTTCACCTCCTGACATGTTCTTGAGTGAATATGGATGTGTGATTTTGAGGTGTTCTACTTGCTGTGCCCGCCTGGGTCCACCCCAATGCTGCAGTGAGGAGAAAAGGGCCACGTGCTGTGGGGTCCCTGTGTGCCTCCTGGTGACTGAGTGGGGTGTCCTCAGCCCTGGCCTGGTGACAGCAGTGCCTGACCCACAAAGCAGTGTTGCTTTCTGCACAGGGCAGATGTTTGTGCAGGTGCCACCCAGGTGTACATGCCCAAAGACACAGGGTTGCACCCTGCTCTGCCTCTATATGCATAAGAATGTGCACACTGGGGGGGACACACAGGTGTGTTCTCCCCACAGTGATTAATAAACCATTTCCATCTGGCCTGAGCCTTTCTGTCACCTACACAGGCAGCATTCCACCCTGGGCTCAGTAAACTGCTGGGCACAGCCTCCCTTCCCTCCAGAAGGGCCCATCCCAGGCCGGCAGCGGGCTTACACTGGGCCCCATCTGGAGCCCAGGCTGGTGTACCAGTTGGCTGGAAGAATCAGCAGTGTAAATACAATTACAGGAGTCTGGGTTTGACTTGCTTCTGCGAACAAACATGTTCAGGGTATTTAGCACAAGGCCAGTCATGCATGGTGATGCCACTGAATTCAGAGGTGACTGAGCCATTCGGGGGAGCAGCCGCCTCTGCCTGGTGTGCAACTTGCTCCTGACCTGCCCCCCACAGAGGACTGGGGGTCCCACTGCACTCCAGCCACAGGTGCCTCAGAGCTGCACTGCCAGAAGAGGTGAATAACAAGGACGGAGGTGCTGCACTCGGGCTGCCTCTACTGTTGATGCTGAAGAGCTGCTTCCCTGATTCCATGGCTGTAGCCCCCAGCAGCCTGGCATGGCCCTGACCCCTGGCCCCTTGGGGTGTGGGCAGGATATAGGCTTGATTGGCTTCCTAGGGCCCCCATAAAATCTTGCTCAGCCATAGTAGCTGCCAGTACAGGGGTAGCAGGTGGGGGAGGAGGGACTGGCATGAGAAGGTTTCAGGGCAGGGTGGCAAAAGTTACCTGGCGAGCACCATCCTGGTGACACCCTCAGGTGGCCTGTTAACCGCACAGCCTCGGTGCCAGTAGCCATGGCCTCAGCCTCGGCAGGTCCCAGCTGTGGGTGTGTGCAAGCCCAGGTCTGAGTTCTGTACAAGTGGCACAGAGCAGCTGATTCTGTGCTAGGAGACAGGGTGGGTGGTTGCTACAGTCACCGGGAGACCTTGTAGTCCGTCAGTGTTCTGAGGCATTGCGCCCTGTGGGCTTCCCACTGCCTAAGGACTGAGACACCCTCTTACCCGCTGCTGCCTGGCCTGTGGTTCAGTGCTGAGTTCATAGAAGCCAGCTTGGCACTGGGAGCTGGAAACAGCTCAGTCCCTTCCCACAGATGGGACAACTTATCCCTATCGCCTGAGTAGAGGCCAGGTCCTCATAGGTGTGGACTGCTGCCAAGGGCAGGGGTCTGGCTTCCTGGGTCCCCACATGCGCCCCTCAGCCTGGACTGCACCCTGGCCCGGGTTCCTCTGTGCAGCCTTGACCTCGGCGTCCTGCTTGAGCCCCTGCCCCATCTCCTCCTGCAGTGGACTCTGCTGTGAGCTGTTTGCAGCTGGCATCTGGTGGGACTGCCCTTCTCGTGCATGGAAGGAGGAACCTGGGGCGATGGCTGGACATGGAGCAAGGGCCAGGCCCTGGGCCTCCCTCAGGACCCCAGCCTAATCCACGCAGAAATGTGGGGTGCAGGCCAGGAATGCTAGGCACTGCCAGCCGGCTCCTCACTGGGGCCCTGCCTTATCCCATCTCACTGTCCTCTCCCAGTGGGGCCTGACCTGGCACTGGGAGGTATACAAGGAGGGAGCACATCAAGGGAAGCTTGGTCAGTTAAAAGGAAGATCAATTAAAAAGCTCTCGAGGACAAAGACAGCTTGTTAACCCTGAACTGCGCCCTGGCCCTGCAGTCGAGACGGAGACCTGAGGTGTCCTCACCGCATGCAGCAGGGCCACGGAAGTGTGTCCCTGACCAGCAGGCCCAGCTCGAGGAGGCCAAAGGCCACACTCTCACCCCAGAGGGCTAAGGCCTCTGTCTGGATGAAGGGAGGAGGTCCAGTGACACTGAGTCCACCTGCCACCCACCACTGCCCTGTCTTCATTCTGTCTGGCCCTTGTCTAGGAAGTCCAAAGGGCATGGGGACACTCACTCTAGGCCACACTCAGTCCAGGAAGCACAGGGAAGGTGTCCAGAAGCTGTGAAGGCAGGCATGGTGACACCCCTGTGATGCCAGCCACCTGGGAGGCTGAGGCAGAAGGATTCCGTTTATGAGCCTGGGCGATTAGACCAGAAACAGGGATGGGGGGATATTGGGATGAAGCTTAGGGGTGGCACTTTCCTAGCATGCCGAAGCCTTGGACTCTGTCCCCAGCACCAGAGAATAGATGAGGGCACCTGTGGTGTCATCTTTACAGGCACCTGGAGGCAGGGGTGGCGGCACTGTGCCGCAGACGCAGAAGTGGAGCTGGGAGGCCCTGAAGCTGCCCACGATGTTGCGGCTGTGCCAGATGCAGCCCTGTGCACTCCCCTCCAGAAGGGAGCATCTGGGACAGAGACTGAGAGTAAGGGGTGCCCTCCAGGGCGACACAACAGTGCCTCAGACCCCACCTGCCGCTGTGCTCCCAGAAACGCAAGCTCATGGCCATCCTGGGCAGCTTAACAAGATCCCGTTCCAAAACAGAGGTATGGGACTGGGGAGATAGCTCAGTAGAATAAGCGCTTGCCTGGCAAGTGCAAGGGCCTGAGTTCAATCCCCGGTTCTGCCAAAAACAAAACAGAGGTATGAAAAGGGCCAGGAAGCTGCTCTGTGCTCCCTGGTTCCATGTCCAGTGTAAGGAGGAAGGGAAGCAGAAGGAGGGTGAGGGAGGCGGGCAGGGAGGAAAGAGCACTTGCCAGGTAGACCGCGCCTGCCCTGGGAGTGTGGTGCCGCTGGCAGCAGAGCAGTGACATCTAGTGGCTACCATAGGGCTCAGTCCCTTCCTCAGGGAGGGACAAGGCCAGAAACCTCTTCCTCTGTCTGTGCCCAACATACAGGCATTCTGTGCCAGGCCCCGAGAGTCACAGGGGTAGAGCTGGGTGGTGGGGAAGCACCAAGCCCGGGGGGAGGCTGAGCCTGCTGGGCCAGTCTGCCCTGGGGCCTCGGGCTCTACCCTGGAAGCAGGGCGATGGCAGATTCTGCCATGGGCAATGGGCCCAGGGAAGTCCCACCTCACAGGGAAGCCAGCGGCGTCTGTGTGCAGGGCCAGCAGCACAGCCTAGATTCAAGGACATTGGGTTCACCGGGAGGCAGAGGCTGGGGCTGTGTGGTTCAGGGACAGTGGGGGCCCCGGGAGGCAGAGGCTGGGCAGCCTGGTTGAGGGACAGTGGGGGCCCCGGGAGGCAGAGGCTGGGCCGCCTGGGTCGGGG